ACTTAGTTCTAAGTTTGAGATTCCCAAGCATCAAAATACACAGTACTATAGAAAAACTTCTCAGTAATCGTCTTATTTTCCTAATTTCAAAAGACAGTTTTCACTTCCCCAATTTCTGTCTCCTAGAGATGACCCTTCTTCCAGTACAAGATCACCTGACTTTTTGCAGAACAGCTTTGACGCAAAAGGCAGCCTCCTTTAGCGTACAGCTTTTGGTGCTGGGGAAGGACCAGAGAGATATTAAGGCTGGCTCCATCCACAGTGTGAGTTCATATCCTCTGTGAGTGAATGTAGCTGACAGACTTGCACTGGTGACTGTTAACAATATACTAGGGAGTGTTTGGCTCAGTGGTATTGCCTAGCATGCACAAGGCCACCCCTGAAGACTGCCCCAAACAACAACAGAAAAAAAAAAAAAAACAGTAAAAATAAGTAACACATATAAATAAACTTTTAAATATAGCTTTTAGGGCTTATGTCAGGAAGGATAGAGCCCTTTTCATTAAGACTAAATATATTTCAAAAGCGTCACCAACTTAACTCCTAGAAAAAGAGAGTTGTAAAGATATCTAGAAAACAATGGGCTATGAGAAGTTCCAACAAGGCCCATGTGCTTGGGGTCTACTTGTTCCCCAGTCTCAACCAACATACAACCAAGTGTTTGGCTTGTTTCCAAGGTGCTGCTATGGTCCAGTGAAGGCCACTGGGAATTATTTCGCCAGGACTACTAAGCACTGGCTGCCTGCTCTGTCTTCCTACGAGGACTGCTGACAGGAGCTCTTGCCAGCCAGCAAAACTGAAGCATCAAACCTTGGAACCTGAGGACTCAAAAGGGCTTTGGGCTTTTCCCATAGAGCAGAACCAGAGACAGTAGCCAACCTATAGAATCAGCTACATTTCCCACCCACGTTCCTTGTATTTAAGCAGGTGGCACAGAGACAGGGGGAGGGGGAGCAGAAAATATAGGCCCTCAACAGCTGCTTATGTAACTCACAGGAAACCCGATGTGACAAGTGGAGGGGAGGAAGTAGTTCCAGGAAATGAACTCCAAGATGCCTTCCTGGGATGGGATGGTGCTGTTGGTTGCCTGTTCCTGCTTAGAATCCTGCCCTAGGCATCTGTTCTAGTTTGTTTCTCCATTGCTGTGACAAAATACTCTGACCAATACCAACCTGGGGAGGAAAGGGTTTATTTGTCTTACATTTCCTGGGTCACAGTTCATTAGCGAGCCCAAGGTAGGAACTCAGGGCAGGAACCTAGAGGCAGGATCTGGAGCACAGCCATGGAGGAGCTCTGCTTACTGGCTTGCTCCCCTGTCCCATGCTCAGCCTGCTTTCTTATACAACACAGGACAACCTACCTGACCAGGGGTGGCAGAACCCATACTGAGCTGGGCCCTCCCACATTACTCAAAAATCAAGAAAATACCCCACAGACATGGCCACAGGCCAGTCCAATGGAGGCAGTTCTCCAATTGAGGCTCCCTCTACCCAGGTGTATTAAGTTGACAACTAAAGCCGTCCAACACAATATCCAGTAAACAACTACCAGGTCTCCTGGGCTGTTCCTGTAGATGTTCACTGTCCAGTGCACACCTAAATTCCCTCTCCAAAATGTCACATTTGAGTGTTAAATTAGAAATTAAATTAGTGACTGGGTTTCTAGAAGGGTTTTGGTAGTTGACCTATATGTTGGACTACACATCTCTGCAAATCGACCCCTGGCTAGGCTAAAGCATATTCCCATGTAAGCAGAGTCTGGAGAGGAAGGAGACCATCATGGTAAGAGCACAAAAGAACAAAACTCCCTAAGTTTCTATCTCAAGCCCCTCACACTTAACAGTAGTGAGACTGGACAAACTGTAACATCTCCGATTTGAAATAACCATAAATGTGAGAGTAATTGCTGAGGACTTGTGAACTGGCATCTCTGTAAAGTGTTTAGATGGTGCTTGGCAACAGATTAAGATACTTTATGAATGTTGTTCACTAAATAAAAATATGCATTTTTACACCCAACATATAATTTCTTTTTTAAAATATTTTATTTTTTTAATATTTTGTATTTTTATTTTTTTAATATTTTATTTATTTTTATGTGTATGCATGTATTGCCTGCATGTAGGTAAGTGTACCCATGTCATGCAATGCCCAAGGAGAACAGAAGAGGCTCTTGGATCCCCTGGAACTGGAGTTACAGACAGTTGTTAGCTGCTATGTGGGTGCTGGGATTCGAACCCGGGTCTTCTGCAGGAACAGTCAGTGTTCTTAACCGCTAAGCCATCTCTCCAGCCCCCCAACATATAATTTCTATAGAAGAATGTCAAGGCAGGAGAGGAAAGCCCTCTCCAGACTCTATATTCTCTCTCACGAATGCCTTGCTAGTAAAACTTCTGCATCTGATCTTTGATGACACCAGTTGGGGAAAGGATGATACCGGAGGGCAGGAATGGAACACCCACTGCCACAGTCTTAGTTCCAGATGATTACTATAAACTACAATACAAATTTACATACTGAAACCATCTCAAGAAACATAAAGAGGCAAAACCAAGTGCCCTGGTTTCAGTCACCAGGCAGAGGCTGAAACATCGAATGCCTCCTGCAGCTGTTTTAATGCACTAACTAGAAGAGAACCTTTGCTTTCTCAGGTGCTCTACAACTGTACCTGCACATTCAAGCATGGGATTTGGTACTTTAAAAGCATCAAAAATATGCAGATAAGATGCATTCAAAGGGGGCTGGAGAGATTCTCAGCTGTTAAGAGCACTTGCCGTCTTGCAGAGAACACGGGCTCAGTTTCCAGCACCTACATGGTGACTAACAACTATCCTTAACTCCAGGTCCAGGGGACCCAATGCCCTCTTCTGGCCTCCTCAGGCATCGCATGGCATGGGTGCACTTACATACAAGCAGGCAAAGTACACATACATATACAAAATTTAATACATTCAAAGCAATCAGTTTAAGATGAAAAATCTCAAACAGAAGTATCACATTAAAATTTCATGGGGTAAATTATAAAGAAATGTTCTTAATTCCTCAGAGAGACACCTCTCCACCACAAAGCAGGTACTCAGGACAGTCATCATGTGTTAAGTGGGCTCCCCATACCATCTCCACAGAATACAATTATTACCTACATCTGGATAGTGGACTTTTGGGGTTTTTTGAGAAGCATAAGAATTCTGCCTTTGAGGTCTTTTATACCTTCAAACAAGATTTTAATTCCCTACCAAGACAATAAAATTCCAACCAGACATGACGGCCTGTCCCTGTAATCACAGCAGTTGGCAGGCTGAGGCCTGGGCTATATAGGGAGATCCTGTCTTTAAAACATGGGGACTATGGCTGGATGGAGCACTTGCCTAGCATGCATGAGAGGCCCTGGGCTCAATCTCCAGCACCTAAGCAAAAGAATAAAAATTTAATTAGTTGATTTAAAAATTCAGGAATGCAGCTCACTGGGAGAGTACTTGCCTAGCATATGCAACCTCTGATCTGAAGCAGCCCTGTAGGATACATACAAGGCACAGTACCATGTTGAGGGCCTAGGAGACACAAGCACAGAAACAAGGGAATGCTAAATAATTGTGTCAAGAAACACGATTTCAGGATTACAAAAGTTGGCAGTGATGTGTTAAGGTGAGCACACATTTATTTTTAAGTAGATAGCAGTCTCTGATTCACTTTTCTATTGTGCTAGCTCTTAGGTGAGTCACCACACAGAGGGTTTGATTTTACTGCCTTTTTTGTTTTGTAAGGTTTGTTTGTTTTGTTTTGATTTTTGGTTTTGGTTTTTTGAGACAGGGTCTCCCTGTAGCCCCAGCAGGCCTGCAATTCATAGGGGACTGCCTGCTTCTGCCTCCTAGGTGCTGGAGTTAAAGGCATGTGTCACAATAAACCAAGGTTTTAAAATTCTAAATTCTAACCAAATGGATAGAATGTAAGTGGGAGAGGCACTTTTCAAAAACATTAACTACCCAGGAAGAGGGAATATTTCTAAGGAAGAAATCTTTGCTCTATTTTAGAATTTGGAGCAAGGAGGAATTTTTCCACCAACGTTTCTTTCAAAAGAACATAGCCTTTCCTTCAACGTTTTATTTTTAGCAATTAACTTTTTAATGGGAAAAAGATGTCATTTCTAGCACTACTCATCTCAGCTACTAAGGAGTTTCACAACTCTCTAGAACAGGACTGAAATAGACAGGGGCTTACCATTACCACTGACACTATTAATGCAAAATCCTCTCAAAACCGTGAAACTGAGAACAGGGAGCTAACAACCCCTAAGCACACCCTACACACCAGAATTCCACTCCCTCACCTCAGAATGAGCTCGGTGGAGCTGGAAGGGATGCGCGCGTCACAGGATATCACAGTTCAACCTCAGCAGCCGCTGGTGGACCAGGACTGAGGACACCGGCTTCCACCCACAGAGCTCCTGGGCTTCAGCTCAGCCCACCTAACACCGAGCAGTCCAAGCGGTTTGCTTCTGCATCCAGAGGCCCGCGCTTCGTTTGCAAAAGCAGACACCCTCCAGCTGCGAGCTGGCTGTTTCCCAGTGACAGGTCCTTGCCACGCTCCTGTCGCTCTCGCTGCCCTCCTCCTCTGCCGCGGTCACCCCGCACCCCGACCCAGGAGCGTGAGCCGCCCGATGGACCCACTGCCCTGGGCGGCCGGGACGCGTGTGGACACGCACAAAGGTCACTCCCCGGGGCGCCACCCGAGCGAGAAGCGGCGGGAATCAGCGTCCCAGACGGGGTGCGGGAGAGGCCAAGGAGCAGGTCGGGCCGGGGAGCCGCTGTCTCCAGCTCCCGGGGAGCCCCTGTCTCCGGGTCCCGGGAACCCCTGTCTCCGGATCCCAGGGAGCCCCTGTCTCCAGGCCCCCGCGCCCAGCACCCACCCCGGCGCACCGCAGACCAGGCTAGCGGCGGACAGCGGTTCCGGCACGGTGCGCGCCCCCAGCGCACCCGGGGCGTCGGCAGCGGCGGCTCCTACCTGCACTAGCAGCCCGAGCAGCAGCGCCGCCGCCCTCGCCAGCCCGCAGCTCATGGCTCCGTGAGTCCTCCCGAAAGCCCGGCCGCACCGCAGGCTCGGCCGCACCGCAGGCTCGGCCGCGTCCCCGCGCCCTGGGCCGCCGGACTCCAGCAGCCAGCCGGGCACGCGGGGCCACCGGGCGGGACTCGGGGACGCGCCGCCCTAGCCGCGCTCCGCCCTCGCCGCGCGCTCCCGGGCTCTGAGCGCTGCGGGATGGGGGCTGAGCGCCGGGAGAACCGCGTGCCGGGGTGCGCCTGGCGCGGGGGGCGGGGTGGCAGACCCTGCGGGTGGAGGAAAGCTGCAGGGTGTCTCTCTTCCGCAGGGGACTGCTACGTCGCTCCTTAGTTCCAGGAAGGTTTTGAAAGGGCACAATGTTGCGGGGAGGGAAGGACAAAAAGGCGGTTACTCTGGGTCTTCCTGAAGTTTCCCCATTGCACTCTCCCTGGTGCCTGCTGGTGAGGCGACCCCTCCCAAGTGATAGAAAGGACAGTTAAAGGACAAGAGAAGGAAAAATGCTAGCAAAATGTTGGTGTCTGTGCCAGCGTCTTTCTACCTGACGCTGCTAGGAATCCACCACTCTTGACCCCACATGTGAAGTACTCGATTCAACCATGGATTTGGGAACAGTAAAGATAGCCTGCCTCCCTGAATCCCTGTGATGTGGACATTTACCTTTACTGAATGAATTCAGGTATCCTGTCAGGTGCCCCTCAAATGATCTCATCCAGGTTTCTCAGCAACTGACTTCCCAACAGACACTATCTTCTCTCACAACTCATGAGGTGTCTCAGATGCCACTTCATTCATGATGAAGTCATTAAAGCATTTTTGAATTTGTAATATGTAAAAGACCCTGAGCTGGAGACACATGTGTAGAGGTGGAAAAGAAAACAGCTCATGGGCTCTAGAAGGAAGATGTTCGTTTAAACAACGAAAATACAGACTGCTGAGTACAGAGATTAGGAGAATAGAGCTGCTTGGGTCCAGGAGATGGCCCCGCAGATAAAGCACTTGTCTGGGAAGCCTGGCAATAGGAGTTTCCTCCTGGGAACCTAAGGTAGAAAGAGAGCCAACTGACGAAAGTTGTCCTCTCACCTCCATAAACACACCACGGCATGTTGTGTGTGTGGTGCATGCCAACACGAGAGAGACTCACAATAATAATAAATAAGTAAATAAAAACATCTTTAATAGAGTTGGTTAAAGGACAGAAACTATCTCCAACTGGATCTGGATGGAAGGAGGTCATGAAAATAGATGTCACCTGAGGCAAGTCTCAAATATTTTGTCCACTTTCAATGCATACATTTATTTAGTGAGTACAAAGTGTGCACCATCACACTATACCTGTTAGAGTTCACAAGTGAAGCAGAAAAGGAGGCCTTCATGCTAATGATGACATAACAACAACAACAACAACACACCACAAAACAGAACCGTTGTTCTGGAGACAGATATAAGTGGCTATGGCTCAAGAACACAGATTCCATGTTCCAATGAAGTAATAGTTTCATGAAGCTTTATAGTATAAGAAGAGAGAAAAATCATAAATCAAGCCCCTTTTGAAATGCATTGGCGGAAGCATTCGTGGGTAGGTTACAACAAAGCAGACTAAGGCTGCTACAGGAAGGCCATCTGGTGACATCCTAAGCTTTCTGATTAGTTGAAGGTAGTGGTCTGTTAATGCACTTCGAAAGGTTTTTGGTGACAGTCACAAGGATGTTAGGTCACACAGAGGTGAACCAGGAATGGCTATTAAGGAAGGGGGGGGGCACAACTTTAGCTAGTTGAAGATAAAGATTCAAAACCTCTCAAAATTCTGTATATGCCTATTGTAAAAACAATGGAATGCACGTCTTTTTCGAGAAACTCACACCCTTTCCCTGCAGTGTGTCTTTCGTTCTAGGTGTTTTTTCCCCTCTTAACCTTTGTTAAGAGAAAGTCTATACTAAAATATCTTTACTAAACCTCCAACTTTGCTTCAAACTGGGCTAGTGCTAAAAATTCTTTTCTTAAAAAAAAAAAAAAAGACATGAATCCTTATTTGCCTGATTCAAGACTCCTTAAAAGAGTAACAGAAGTCTTCAAGCTGCTGAGAGTGGCTAAGCTGTGTATCTTTCTGTCACTGAAGACAGTATCAGGGTAGTTAGTATTCACTTTATAGAATGAGTCTGGTAGTCAACCTTCCTTTTTGTTTTGTGAAACAATTTCAGAATTACTGGTGTTAGCTCTTTCTTAAATACCAGGTAGATTTCAGAAGATTCCATTCAGTCCTGGGCTTTTCTTTATTGCAGTTCTTTCAGTTTTGAATGGGTGAGATTATTAAGTATATAGCAAACAAAAGTAAAAGAATAAATAGTGAGTGACAGATAGAGGCAGCAGGCAGATAGTAAAACATCATCGAACCAGGGGCTTACAAACATCCAGCAGAAATTGGCTAGGGAAGTCCAGTTGATGCACTCAGCTGAAGTTCCTGATTGAGAGTCTCAGGCTGAGCAGAACATTCCCTCAGGTGAGGCTTACAAGAAAAAGAAAAAGTAGCAGAAGATAGACAACATCATCAAATTGTGCACTCACAGCGTCCACAAAAACTGTCTAGAAAAGTTGAGGCAGTCAGAGTTGCTGCTTGAGCCATCTTTCCATGGGTTATCTCATGGCTGAAGTTCTGGCTTTCTGTATCCATTGCAGGCCTTTTATATCGTGGGAAGATATACCACCCTAGTTTGGTATCTGTTGGTATGATGAAAGACTAACTAAAAACAACTTTGGGAGGAAAGGGTTTATTGCATCCTCTACTTCCAAGAGACAGTCCATCACTGAGGGAAGCCAATCTGATAGAGGAAATTCCTCATTAAGGTTCCCTCTTCCTGGTGACTCTACTTTTTGTCAAGTTGACAAAAACACTAACCAAAATAATTGACCCCTTTTCAAGTTGACATACAAACATGTCACTATTAAATCATAACCTTTCCTTTCTTGTTTATCCCCCAAATCTCATGTTGATATCATAATATAAACCACAGTCCATCTTTTAAAAGTCCCAGGTCCTTAAAAATTCCAAGGCTTGGCCAGGGGTGGTGGTGCACGCCTTTAATCCCAGCACTCCGGAGGCAGAGGCAGGCAGATCTCTGTGAGTTCAAGGCCAGCCTGAGTTCCAAGACAGCCGGGCTACAGGGAGACCCTGTCTCAAAAAGACTAAAAAAAAAAAAATTCCAAGGCTTTAAAAGTTCAAGATCTCTCTAAAATAATCCAAGGTCTCTTAACTGTGGGCCCCTGTAACATAAAAAAGTTACATCAGATCAAGGAAGAGCCATACTCAAACAATGTAAACAGGTCAATGTCTGCTGGATTCACGCATGATATGGGCTCTAAAGAGTTGGGTAGCCCTACCTCTCAGGCTCTTCCTTCCACAGAACACAATTATCTCATAGGCTCAGGCTGGTTTCAATCTGCACCTGCTGCTGTCCTTGGCAGACATCCCATGGTGCTCACATCTCCAATAAGATGAGGCCTCCACTGCTACTAAGGCTACACCTTCACCAATGGCCTCCTGATGTCCCTCTCTTCAGAGACTCCAACCCTGCCATGTGGTACCAAGCCTCAGCTTTTCTCCATAACCATTCAACCCTACAGTTTCCACTGCAACTGAGGCTGTAACTGTCACCAACAGCCTTCTCTGGCCTTTCACAATACCAAGTCTCAACTTATCTTTATGGCCCTTCAATTCTGCAGCTCTCATGCCACCAAAACCAGTACCATGTGGGAGACTCCTACACATTACCAAGTTTGACTTCCACCTTGAGATGCAGTGTTGGCACCCTCTGGACCACAGCTTCCAGGTGCTGATCCTCAGGAAACAATTCCCAGAAGATTTCACCACAATAATTCTTGTATCTTATTATTCTGCAAGACCATTTATGTGAAGCAGTGAAGGCTTTTTTATTGTGCCTTGATGGCAATTACAGTATCTGCCTGTACACACACACACACACACGCATGCACGCACTCACACACACACACACACACACACACACACACACAAACATAGCTCTCTCAATAGAATAAGAGATAGCTTATTTTGGAAACAAATATGAGTGAGCAGGAACACAGATTCAGGTTACCTCAAGTTCTGTGTTTCAGGTAGTTACTATTTGACAGTATTCTTAGTTCTTTAGTTGGTGGAAGTTGGGGGTCTGTTTGTATCTGTCAAAGGACTTAACTAATATTCATAAATATGCCACTGGACTTGGAATATTCCAACCTCTCCACCTCACTGACATTCTGATCAGTCAATTTGTACTTGCAGCATCTTTCTGGGACTTTTCCTTCACACACTCTAATCTGCTGTAATGTCAAAGATAGGTTTCTGGCCGAGCTTTTTAATGTTAAAATTCCCACAGGCAGAAATATATTTCTTACTCTACTCTAACCCAGCCATATTTAGGAGGCCAAACTCAAGAATATTCAGCACCCCTGGCATATCACCTCTCTCTCTTTTCATATATATCAGGAAGGTCTCAAAAAAGGACCCTGTGATAGGTTTAATTGTCAACTTGGCACAATCTAGAATCAACTGGAAAGAGAGTCTCAACTAGGAATTGTCTACATCAGGCTGGCCTGTGGATATGTCTGTGAAGGATTGTCTTATGTTAAGGGGTTCAGAAAGACCCAGTCCACTGTGGACAGCACCATTCCCTAGGCAGGGGATCCCAGACAGCGTAAGAGCTGAGAGAGAGCTGAACCCTAGTGTTTAGGCATACATTCATCTCTGTCTGCCGTTGACTGTGGATGTGATGTGATTAGCTGCTTCAGATCCCTACTGCCTTGAGTTCTCTGTAATAATAGACTGTAGTCTGGAATTGTGAGCTAGAGCAAATCCTTTCTCACCTAAGCTGCCTTTTGTCTGGGTATTTTATAGAAATGAAATAGAACAAATGTCAAGGTGGTATATGTTTGTACATCTGGGAAAGTAAACACAACAATACATCCACTTCACCATCTCTGGGACAGGGCAGAAAATCTCCTTGTTCTAAATTAAAAGAAATATTCAGTGTCCTGTAAGTTTATAGCACTTGACCCTTAGAACCAAATATATTTTTAAGAAATAGATATTGAAAAGTTTTGGGGGTAAA